GACCTGTTCTTTCATCCATGCAAAGATGTTCTGATATCTGTGCAACAACTGTTGAATCATTTGTGCGATCAGATAATTTCACTTTTATGATGACACATAACTATTGTCGATCATAGACTGAAAAAGAATAACTTTCAGGCTAATTGAAGTGGGTCAACGAACAGTTAGCATATTTGTTCATTCGTATGAAAATGTTATATATGCATGGTTAACTTTTTGAAAAATACCAGTGAAATATTTCAATACTCATCTTCCTGCAGGTAGACTCTTGAGTCAGAATATGATCGTGTTCCACTTGCAAGAAGAGGCCATATTTGAATCTCAAAAACTACATAAAAATAAAAGCAATTCAGTCTCATTTTGATTACGTACTCCTATATAAATTTCTTGAGAGCACCAAATACTTCCAAGGAGCTACGTTTTTTGCAGTTTTGGTTTTTACTAATCCACCAGAAGCCACTGTGTTCTCTTTTTCAGATCTCAAATTTCTTTCACGAGTGTCATTCTTCCCTAAACCTAACCAATAGTGTTTTGAAAAGTATCAAGTGACCCACCCACCCCCTTTCCTAAACCCAACCGCAGTGTTTTAAAAAGCAATCCAGATTACCACATTCTCACCCTGTTATTTACTTGTTGGTTTAATTTTTTAGCTTTTTTTTTTTTTGTCTGACTTACTTTCTATTACGGTTTTTCACCGAACTCAAACCCCTTAGTCAAGGTCAACTCCACTCTGCGTCTCAAGTCCCCCAACATACATGTTGAGCTATCGGACAAACTGGTTACAGCATATAAGCTAGGGGTGTCCAAACTCAGTCCTGGAGAGCCTGTATCCTGGAGAGTTCAGCTATAACCCTAATGAAACACACCTGAATCAGCTAATCAAGCTCTAACTTGATATACTAGAAACTTCCTGGCAGGTATGTTGAAGCAAGTTGGAGCTAAACTCTGCTGGACACCGGCCCTCCAGGACTGAGTTTGGACACCCCTGGTATAAGCAGTCCACTTGGAGGTAAGCTGTCAGGAACAAACAGGAATGGAACGGCGGCATCATACCGCCCCATAGTGTTTGTTTTAAAGATGAAGTGCAGCCATACGTAGCTCTGGCTACATAATTAATGATTTCCAGAAATGTATACAGGGCTACAATTTCAGAATGAGCCCATGTTGAATAAAAGTCAGGGTCATGATTAGTCTTGCATAGCCAGACCTTAGACTGACAGCAGAATGTTTGGGAACTTTGGCTATTTCTACATGACTGACACTATAACCAACCAATCACATTTCAGTTTGTATCATGTTATGTTTAGGGGTATGTAAATATCCACACAATTATAGCCTTCATCCCCCAATCACTTAAAGTTTACAACAATATAACAGATCCTAAATTATCAGCAAAACACATAGAAAATCAGTAGGAAATGCATATGGACATTGTTCTGAGTTTCAGTTCTTACTTTGGAGACACATTTCTACATACAAATCATGCAGACTGAGATGACAGAAACTGCAAGCGCATAGTTTATTCTATAAAAAAATAATGATTTTGTTGTATTTTCATAAAAATAAAAACATCACTGTTTTCATCACTGTCTTAATGCTCATTGCATGACCAAAATGACCAGAATATTAAAAGGTTTTTTCACTGCCATCAGAAAAAAATATTTCAGGTATAAGTGTACATATACCTGTACCTGCATGACATGTTTGTTGATTTCACTGGTTGAATAATTTATGCAGTAAATCACACATACTTTTAATATTCTAGCATTTGGTTGAGTTGATCATCACCAAAGTTATCCTCACAACAGCCAGGTGTACAGGCAGTAAATTGTTAATTCATAAATGTCTCAGTGGATATTTTTACTAAAACACACAGAAATTTATCCAAGAATGCTGTCTCATCCTTGTACAATTGCATGCACTTCGCCGACAGCAATACCAATATGAGGCATCTGTTTTGAGAAGGCAGTTTTGAACATGAGAATAAATGGCCCGCTGCTATGTAAGCACCCATTCTTGAATTCTTGCGCATGCAAACAGGGGCAAGAAATCCAAATTGGATCTTTAGGGGAACATTACAAATTATGTCAAATGATTAGTGCCAATGGACCAGGGGTGTCCAAACTCAGTCTTGGAGGGCCGGTGTCCAGGAGAATTTAGCTCGAAACCTTATCAAGCACACCTGAACCAACTAATCAAGCTCTAACTAGATAAACGAGTAACCTCCTGGCAGGTGTGTTGAAGCAAGTTGGAGATAAACTCTCAAGCACACCGGCCCTCCAAGAGTTTAGACAACCCTACAATAGACAGATTTCACGTGGACGTCAAAAAAAAGGGACATCGGACCTCATTTTAGCTAAGTTAAAATTACACTAGTAAACTAATGCTTTCTTTTCCAAACACATGTTTTAGGGTGCTTTCACACCTGTGAATTGATTCAGTTGTTCCGAAACAGGGATTAAAATTGTTACATTTTTGCTCTTTGTTCTTGGTGCGGTTCGCTTTCACACGGCAAAGTTTCTAAACAGACCAAAAGAGCTAAAATAAGTCACATGTGAGTAAACTCTCCTCACATTGGTCAGAGTTTCACGGTTTATTTTGCAGAGTCCCGCTCAGCTGTCAGTGGGATGGTAGTGGTTTGGTGGTGTTTGACAAGGTGCGCGCGAAGTATCTGAAGAGCGAGGAGGGATGTGGTGGGGAAGGGTGAGAAAGGTGCGCAACGTATTTTAGGACCAGGAGGGAGAGGCGCGACTCCTGAAACTTCATGGAGACTTGGGATGTCTGTTGAATGACCTCACGCCCTACTCATAATTCTCTCTTCATATAGCCGTATGCCAATTACAAATCCATAAAACACAGTGATATAACCGGGCTCGGATCGTATCGCTTTTTCACTGCAGTCAATCCGCTCTAGAGTTTGTTTCAATCGAGCCGAGACCACCTTATTCAAGCAATCTCGGAGCGATTGTTTTGGTGCATATCCGACCGCGATTGGTGGTTTCACATCTGCCAAACGAACCACACTAACTGGGCAAACGAGACTGGTTCCAAAACAAAAGTCTAGGTGTGAAAGCACCCTTAGAGGCATCAACGGTGTTTAAGAATGTGCCCAACAGTGCTTAAATGTTAGCGGGAAATGGACTTTTTTAAATTTAAGTATGGGGCAAAACTATTACAGACAAAACAAAGGTGTGCTACCGAGGACAGCATTGTTTTATCGCTCAGGGAAGCGTCCCCACAGTCTTTACCTGGTGCCATAGACTGAAACCTAGGAGGATAATAAGCTTATCACTCTTAAAGAGATTATGATTCTGTTTGATGCCTAATATGCTTTTAATTGTTAAACTTAACTGAACGATATTAAGGTAATGTTTACACCATATTTGCACTTTAAAATCACGGCAACAGCTTTAGGTTTGTAGTCCACAGCATGTTGTTGCAATGTTTACAGTGCTTATCCTATATTTCCAGCTTTCTTCCACCCACGGCCTTGCTTTCGTTTTTTAAATGGTGTGAAATAAGCATATAATATATAGTGGTTAGTGTGTCGACACATTGCACTTAGGTGCTCATGGCGACCTAAGGTCGATACCTGGCTTGAGGTTCTTTGCCGATCCTTTAGTCTCTCTCTACTCCCTATGCTTTCCTGTCTCCACTCTCCAAGAGCTGAGACACACTAAGCCGACAGTCTGCATTGGGCTTCCTTAGTCAGTGTTGGTCCAAATAGTGTGTTTGGTGTCAAATCTACATCGGGCCGATGGGTGAATAGTGAGTTCTGGCTGGTTTTTCCTGCAATGAATCAGAGCGCACGTGTGACGAAGTGAAGTGATGTAGCAGGTAAACAAATCAAGTCAACAAGGAACACAATGATGCCTGCTGTGGTTTCAAAACATTTCTTAAATATTTGCAAACAATATGGATTATTAGATTATCACACATATTACTGTAAAGGTAACGTGCAATAATGGTACTAAATGCTGCTTTGTTTAGGCTCCTGATTTTTGAAGATCTGGATTTTATCCTTCGCCAAATACACATCCTTTTATGCAGGCACAGGCATACAATCGTTTTAGTCGACTGCTGTCCATTTGGTGTGTTCACGGGTAGCTTTTTTGGTCCAGATGTGAGCCAACACAAGACAACAACGTAGTTGGGTTTAATCAGCACTAATTGTTCGGTGTCGACTTTGTGTATCTCTACCCTAAGACTTTCTCTATTGTTTATATCCAGTCGCATATCCAAAGTATATTTTGACTCCATTTAAGTTCCTCAAGCAAAACTCTGGGACCTATTATGACAGGACTTGCATTGTCTTAAGAATCCTGCTTAAAAAAATCTCTATTAATATGCATTGTCATCAATATAAACATCACAGCTTTTTTTTATTAGTTAGACCTGTTTCCAGACAGGCTGGTTAAGACTGCTTCACATTCTGCTTCTAGAAATCATGTATATTTAAACCAATCAGAGCACAACTTCAAATTTGCTGAAGTCTTGCCAAAAAAGAGTGGCATATACATCTGATGTTTAACCATGGGTCTTTGGGTGGTGCTTTGGCATGTTGTCTAATTTTCAGACTAGGTCAGCATGCATAATGTCAAAAACATAAAATATGTCAGCCATGGTTGCATATTAGTTAAGTCAAGTTAGCTTTATATTTAAAGCTCTATTTACAAAGTAGACTCTCTCAATACCACTTAACATAGATCAAAAAAAGTAAAAGCCATACCAATATTTCAGATTATAGAACTTAATCAGCATATCAAGCATGCAGCAAGGTAGTGTTAGAACGCTGGTGCAATTTTATTTAAATTAAAACTGATACAGTTCAGTTTGAAACAAATGTCACCGTTTATGTAGAGCAGCACCACCGAATCCAACCAAGCAAGCCAGAGGCGACAGTGGCTAGGACCTAAAACTTAAAGTTGTGCAAAAATTACACCATCATCATTAAAATTAGCTCAGACATGTGATTATCTTTCTTTTCTGTGTTTCCACAGGTGGGGTGTATGACGCTGTTTGTGACCCACTACCCTCCTTTGTGCGAACTGGAGCATTTGTACCCACAGCATGTGGGGAATTACCACATGGCTTTCCTGCTCAATGAGCCAGAGAGCACTTCTGATGGTATGTATTGTTAGATTTTGCTGTATTTGGCTTAACCGTTCTTGGGTGGCTCGCCAATGTATTAGATTACTCTAATACATAAAATAAGTAAGCTGACCAAAGTTCTTACGGAGAGAAGACTTTATTGAAGACAATCAATAGTGCAGTTCCTCAGCAGTGATGTTAACCCGTCGGTCTTCAAGTAACTTAACTCAAAGTACTGTTTCTGAGACAGTACTTTATACTAGCATCAAACAAACCATTCTGTTTATGAGGCTCAGCAGGACCCTCTTCAGATGTTTCAGCTGTTGTTTTGCTAATACCCACTGAGATTGTTAAAGGGTCATTTAGTTCACACCTATCAGTTTGTGGGGGTTGAGGCACAGGTCACCCCATCATATCACATCAGAGTTTAATCAATTTAAATGCAACTGAACTAAAATGCACATAATCTTTCAATCCCTCCTCTGATCATATTTGATCATAAAACAAGTTAATCATGTATACAGCAATCTGCAATACAGGCTATATAACTTAAAGTGACAGAATAAGAAGTCATGGTGAAGCTTGCATTTCCTTAAATGCCTGAGTCCATTTCTATTTGAAGTTGTGATGTTGTGGAAGTAGCGGATGTGGTTGTGTTCTTTGAATGTTCAGGTGTGTTCATCTAGGTGTCTGGTGTTGTGTGTCTCTGGTCATTCTCTAGAACATCGGAACACCTGCAATCACACAAAAGAGAAAAGGGAAACGTATCTTGCCCAAAAAAAGATTTTAGAGAAATTGTCAAACTGCCTATAGAAACTGTCCCTATTTAATATTGACAGGACACTACAGTGTTTATCAGTGGTGGTTTATGTCTTCATCCTCAGGCGACAAGCTAGAGCCTAAAAACTCTAGTCCCGCCATATCTGGACTCTGAAAAACACTACTGTCATCTATCCCTCGTCTCTAGGCAAACTCACGTTGATCCATTCATCAAGTCCCTGAACTTTATTTATTGAATCAGATACTAAAACCTTCTCATGTGAGCTCTCACACCTAGATTTTAATGGTAATATCTGAGGTTGTCGTATCTTTACCCATTTTCTGGGCTCTAAACTATGGCCCCTCTTCAGAGGTGACAAAACTTGATTATTGTCCTCATGTACTGCCAGGCTGAGTCTTGCTTTGTATTGGACAAGGCTGTCAGATGTCAGATTTTCTGTGGACATGGGCTGGCTTAGGGCATGTTCAAAAGGGCATAGTCTATGCAGTTCTATTGCACCGTCCATCAGCATTTCATTTGTTGAGTTTTCATTTGCAGTCTGCTTTCTGTCTAAGACTGATCGGTGGTCTTACTGAAGCTGTCTTAATGCCGCTGTATGTTCACCTCTCTCCTTTACGGCTTGTTTGGCAACACCATCTACTAGGACATCAAACTTGTCTTCATCTGTTGAGACTTCTGTGTCAGCTTTTATCTTACTGTTTGCATACACATTCAGTTCATCAGCTTCTGGAAAAGACGTCACTAGCTGGTGCTGCAGAGAGAGGTTCTTTAGTTTCCCTGCGGCTGTACAGCATTTAGCAGAGTCTGTTTTTGTTGTATTGTTAGCTGCTGAAACTGCTTGAACAGGTGGTCATCATCCTTGCTTTGATGTTTTAATCTGAGCTTGCACTCACGGGCCCAGTGTCCTTCTTCATTGCAATTTCTGCATCTTCCTTTAGTTCGTAGTTTTGAGTATCCCATATACTCACGTTCTTTTTGCTCATCCTCAGTTGTACTGTTCTTGTAAAACAAACTTTTCGATTGCAAAGATCTGAGTCTGACATCTTGTGCTCTCTCCAGTTTAGCTGACCATTCAACAATCTGGATGAAAGTTGTTACAGTGCTGTCCCAGTCATCATACCTGATTTTAAGATCTTTAGAAATCTCAGGATTGAGTCCGTTGACAAATGTTGTTTTCAGGGGTATTCCAGTGTCTTTGTCAAGATCTTCACTTGTATTCAGACCAGAATGTTCCGTCCATGTTTGTCTAAAGCGTTCTTCAAACTCTGCAACACTTTCTCCAGTTTTCTGCATGCATGAGGTAATTCTTGCCCAATTGACCTCTGCAGGTTTCAGTTCAAACAAGAAGTTTTTTATGGCTTCCCATCCATCCTCTATGTTCTCTTGTGATTCACCAATCCTTCTTTCAACACTTTCTGTGAGTCTCTTTTGGTCACTGTCTCTTAGGGTGACATTAAGAATCATCACACCGTCTAGTGGATGTAAAATGTAGATTTTCTGCAGTCGTTGAAGAAACTGCCAAACCTTTTGTGGTTGTTTGTATACATCTGGCAGCTCTTTTGACCATTTGTCAACTTGCTCTGGAGTAGCTGGATGGTATGTCCTGTATGGAACATACTTCTTTACCACTTTTGTCACAGTGCGAGTTTGTCTCTCTCCATTGTCTTCATAGCCCTCCTCATTGTCAATTTCAACGTTAGTCCTTCTGTGTTTGACAATCACAGGAGCTAATCTAATCTTTGAGTTCACTTGGTCATGAACACAGGTGTTGATGGAAAGATCAGCCTCACTGTCAACAAAGCTGCTTGAAGATCTTGATTCCAGCTGTTTGGAGATCAAAGTCAATAGCTTGTTGTTTTCATTTTCCAGTCTTTCTTTATCCTTCTTTAAGTTTTGCAATTGTTCAGCCAGTGCTCGAACTTTAGCTTTCTCCGCTTTGTTCTCACGTTCCAATCTGTCAGTCTCACACTTATGCTCATGTTGAAGAATTTGCTTAACCAAAATCACAGACAATCCATCCTTCTTGGTGGTTGTGCATAAGCGCTGTGTCTTTCCATAAGCCCTTTTAATGTCCGGCAATGCCCATAATCCACTCTCTGAGTGCTTGATGCTGTACTTCTTGCATACATTATCACAACACTTCCTCAGTCCCAGCCTTTTGTCTAAATATGCATTCAAATTCTCCCACATCTGGTCAATGGTAACACATGGAGGTTCTGTTCCATGTTTTTCTGATGTTGTTCTTAGGGTAGCTCCATTAGCATAGTTTCTTGCAGACTCAGCCATGGGAAGTACAGGACAGTGCCCTCAGAGGTGTGAAACAGAACAAAAGGTGTTAGAGCTAATAAAGGTGCTTTATTCAAATTTAAATTCACAGCAGTCTGTTAAACCATTACAAATACATAGACAGATTCAACATTTGTTTCAAAGCTAAAACAGTGGCTACTAAATTAGCACTTTCATTCTTTCAGTCCCAAATCTTATATGGCTACTAACAATCTTTGAACAAATGCATTAAACTATTACTTTTACAATCTCTACAATCCCAACAAAGAATGTATCAAGCTTTGCTTCAGCATTATCTTAGTGATTTGACCAGAATTATTTTTTCACAGTTTCTACAATCTTCAAAGCAAGAATCAAGTCTAAAATTGCCTAAAAGCTTCTGTCTAATAACAATTCTTTCTGAGCATTATCTTAGAAGGCTAAGTAACTTTCTTTAGGATTTGTCCCTAGTACAATGTGCTTAAATCTTACTGTATCCTTAAACCTAAGGAAAACAGCTTTCAGTTTTATGCCATCATATTTTAACACGGTTAGAATTTTCAAAATTACAATAATGGCTACTGAATTAGCCCACAGTCAAGAATTCCTAATTCTCGCAGCAATATGAGTCTCAAACTATTTATGTTTGCTTTATATGGCTCCTAACCATCTTTGGACAAAGGAGCTAAACTGTTATTTTTCAATCTCTACAATCACAGCTGAGAATGGACCAAGCTCTGCTTCTGCATAATCTTAGTGATTGGACCAGAATGATTATTTAACAGTTCATACAAACTCCAGAAAATGAACCAAACCTACAATGTTTTTAAGATTTCTATCACAGAAGGCTGTTACTTTCAAAATTAAAATAGTGGCTACTGAATTAGCACCCAGTCAAGAATTCCTAATTCTTGCAGCAACATCAGTCCCAAACTATTTTACAGCTCCTACTGTCCCCTGGGGAAATGGACCAAATTATTTTCAACAATTCCTACAATCTCCAAGAGAAAGGACCAAATTGTTTCTTTTTTTTTATTTATTTCTTTTTTTTTTTTGATTGAGCGTATATATATATTATACAATTTCAATCAACAATACAAAAAAGGCTCGAATATTTTTTGTTTGAATATACATACAAAACAAAGCAGAAAAGACAAACAGTGTGGAAGTAGAATACAATTTTGTAGCAAGAAGTACAATAAGAGTTTATATATAAAAAAAATGGAAGAAAATGCATGTTTATACAGATACTGATTGTAAGAAGTCTATGAAGGGTTGCCAAATATTATAAAAACCTGAGAGATTGTCCTTCACCAAATATCTAATTCTTTCTAAATGTAAAGTATTGGAGAGATCTCGAAGCCACATTTTGTCAGTCGGTATCGTTGGTCCTTTCCATGACATCAAAAGTAATTTTTTTGCAGTTATAAGAGAGTAGGAAATGAACCGCTGTTGAGCTGAAGTAAATTTTCTAAATAGCTTTGATGTGCCAAGAATAATCAACAATGGATCAGGTGATAGTGTAGTCTTAAAAATTCTTGACAATACATTAAATACATCAGACCAGTAGTTTGTGACCTTCGGGCAAGAAAAAAAAGCATGGAAAAGTGTTGCATTAGGGGACTGACATTTATCACAGTTGGATAAAGCGTTTGGGAAAATGTTGTGGATCTTTACTTTTGAAAAGTGAAGCCTATGTATAATTTTGAATTGTATAAGACGGTGTCTCGTATTATAGGAGCATGAGTGTATGTGTTCCAAAGATTCTTCCCAGATGTCATCAGGAATATGGGTACCCATGTCTTTCTCCCAGCTATCCTTGTATTTATTGGATGAGGGGGGGGATATTGTTTGTAATTTGTTATATATATTAGAGATAAATTTATTTTTATATGGGGATATAGTGCAACATTCATCAAGCATAGATTGTGGTTGTGTATCGAAATCTGGCATTAATTTTTGAATGTAATCTCTAACCTGTAGATATCTA